GCTACCCTAAGAAATCAAGGGTAAGAGCTAAAGAGAGGGTTCCAACAACAACACGGAACCTAGAAGATTTTATTATTCCAAATAGGAAAAAGAAGCCACCTCAGGTGTCTCGGGCCACAATGCCTGAGCCATCAGAAGCAAAAGAATTGGCCCTAGCACAATTCATGCAGTGACAAGGGATGTTAGTCCCCGTAGGGCCTCCAGACGGGACCTGAGGCCCTATGTAGAATTAACGATTTATTAGAATCATAGAATCATAGAATCACCAAGGTTGGAAAAGACCTAAAAGATCACCCAGTCCAACCGTTCACCTATTCCCAATAGCTCCTACTAAACCATGTCCCTCAACACAACATCCAGCCTTTCCTTGAACACCCCCAGGGTCGGTGACTCCACCACCTCCCTGGGCAGTCCGTTCCAGTGCCTGACCACCCTTTCTGAAAAGTAATACTTCCTATTGGTCCCGAAAAAATATTCAGAGAGTGATAGCGTTGGTAGACACAGGAGCAGAAACATCAATTATCTATGGAGATCTGGGAGAATTTGATGGCGACGGAGTGATGATTGGTGGTTTTGGGGGACAGACTATTCCTGTCACACAAACATGGTTAAAATTGGGGGTTGGGCGTCTCCCACCCCAGGAGTACAAGGTGTCTATTGCCCCAGTCCAAGAATACATCCTGGGCATAGATATTCAATGGGGTCTGGCTCTCCAAACAACTGTGGGAGAGTTCAGACTTCGACAAAGATGTATCAGTATCCGGGCGGTGCAGGCAATATTAAGAGGCCATGCGAAACATGAGCCTGTTTGCCTGCCGAAACTGCGCCGGACTACTAATGTTAGACAGTATAGACTCCCGGGTGGGCAAGATGAAATATCGACAACGGTGCAGGAATTAGAAAAAGTGGGTGTTATATGACCTGCACACAGCCCATATAACTCCCCCATATGGCGAGTGCGAAAGTCGGGTGGCACATGGAGAATGACAGTAGATTACAGAGAATTAAATAAGGTCACGCCGCCTATTCATGGGGCCGTACCCAATATTGCTTCCCTAAAGGACACATTGAGTAGGGAGATAAAAACCTATCATTGTGTCCTAGATCTAGCAAATGCATTCTTCAGTATCCCAATTGCTGAGGAATCGCAAGATCAGTTTGCGTTTACGTGGGGAGGCAGGCAGTGGACCTTTCAGGTCCTGCCACAGGGGTACGTGCATTCACCAACGTATTGTCACAATCTAGTGGTGCGTGACCTGGCTGACTGGAGAAAACCTGATGATGTTAACCTATATCATTATATTGATGATCTCCTGCTGACATCCGACTCGCTGGAGGCAGTAGGACAGGCAGCAGATTCATTAACCACCTATTTACAACAGAGGGGATGGGCTATAAATCCCCAGAAGACGCAAGGTCCAGGCCTGTCCGTAAAATTCCTGGGGGTGGTTTGGTCGGGAAAGACCAAAGTGCTACCCAGTGCTGTCATAGATAAGGTTCAGGCGTTCCCAGTCCCTACAACATCAAAGCAGCTGCAAGAGTTTCTAGGTATATTGGGTTATTGGCGTTCCTTTATACCTCACGTAGCACAGCTGCTAAGGCCACTATACAGACTCACAAAAAAGGGGCAGGTGTGGGACTGGGGGAAAACCGAACAGGATGCTTTCCAACAAGCAAAACTGGCAGTTAAACAAGCTCAGGCATTGGGTATATTTGATCCTACCCTCCCAGCCGAGTTGGACGTTCATGTTACTCAAGATGGCTTTGGTTGGGGCCTGTGGCAATGCCAGAGCTCTGTTTGGACCCCCATTGGTTTCTGGTCTCAGGTTTGGCACGGAGCAGAAGAAAGATACAGTATGATTGAAAAACAGTTATTGGCTGCCTATTTGGCATTACAGGCAGTAGAGCCAATAACTCAAACAGCTGCAGTTATAGTCAAGACCACTCTGCCGATCCAGGGATGGGTGGAAGATCTGACCCAATTTCCTAAGACAGGGGTGGCCCAAGCACAAACAGTGGCACGATGGGTTGCCTTTCTCAGCCAAAGGAGCTGTTTGTCTTCATCCCCCTTAAAAGAAGAACTCCAGAAGATCCTAGGCCCAGTGACGTATCACAGTGATGCACCAAAAGAAATACTGGTTGCTCCACCAGAGAAGAGTCCCATTCAGGAGGGAAAATATCCTATCCCTGAAGATGCCTGGTACACAGATGGGTCCAGCAAGGGCAACCTGAGCATGTGGAGTGCAATAGCATACCATCCTTCCACCGAGACAATCTGGTTCGATGAGGGGGATGGTCAGAGCAGCCAATGGGCGGAACTGCGAGCCGTGTGGATGGTTATAACCAAGGAACCCGGTGATGGTATCCTGAACATCTGCACAGATAGTTGGGCTGTGTACCGGGGGCTCACTCTTTGGATTGCACAGTGGGCCACCCAGGAATGGACTATCCACGCCCGACTGATCTGGGGCAAAGACATGTGGTTAGATATATGGAATACGGTCAAACACAGGACTGTACGTGTCTACCATGTTTCTGGTCATCAGCCCCTACAGTCACCGGGAAACGATGAAGCCGACACACTGGCCCGAGTTTGATGGATTGAGAATTCACCATCTGAGAACATCGCCCGCTGGTTACATCAGAAGCTACGGCATGCTGGACAAAGGACAATGTGGGCAGCTGCTAAAGCCTGGGGACTGCCCATACAACTATCTGATATCGTCCAGGCATGCCAGGATTGCGACGCTTGCTCCAAGATGAGACAGAGATTGTTGCCCAAAACAACAGCCCATTTTGCTAGGGGACACAATCCTCTCCAGCGATGGCAGGTTGATTACATCGGGCCCCTTCCTCGCTCCGAAGGGGCAAGATACGCCCTGACCTGTGTTGACACTGCAAGTGGGCTACTGCAGGCCTATCCAGTACTGAAAGCAAACCAGGCATATACCATCAAGGCACTCACTCAACTGATGTCTGCCTATGGGACACCTCAAGTCATCGAGAGCGACCAAGGGACTCATTTTACTGGTGCAACGATACAGCGCTGGGCAGAAGAAAGTAACATCGAATGGCGATTCCACCTGCCGTATAATCCAACGGGGGCAGGCCTCATCGAACGTTATAATGGTATTCTTAAGGCTGCCCTGAAGACAGACTCCCAGTCCTTGCAGGGGTGGACAAAAAGACTGTATGAAACCCTGCGGGACCTGAATGAAAGACCTCGAGACGGCAGACCCAGTGCCCTGAGAATGTTGCAGACGACATGGGCCACCCCGCTTAGGATCCAAATTACGGGCACTGATCATCGGGTAAGACCCCAGATTGGTGACAAAAATAATCTTCTGCTCCCTGCCGCTGAGAATTTAGAGCCAGGTACCCATAAAATAAAATGGCCCTGGGAGGTGCAGGTAGGACCCAAGTGGTGTGGCCTACTTGCACCTTGGGGGAGACTATTGGAGGTGGGAGGCTCAGTAGTCCCTCCAGTAATAGGTACATGGCCTACTGATATTGTGGTCAACACTCCGATCTTCATTGCTAACGGGACCCCCCTCATGTCCCTGTGGCAGATCAGGACACCTCCTTTGGTGCCTGATATCGTTATGCAGCCACAGATATCCCGCTAGAAGGTGTGGTACAGGCGGCCAGGACGTGCCCCAGTACAAGCGGAAGTGTTGACCCAAGACAGAAATACGGCCTGTATCTTGCCCTGGAGAGCAGACCTTCCCCTCCTGGTTCCTCTGAAACATCTGTATTACTCCCTGTGAGTCTGTGAGCCTTCAGGACCACCGGAAGGAACAAAATGCCATCAAGTGTTCCAGTGTTGCTGTCAGATCACGTACAACACCCGGTGATGGTCTGCATGGGACATCACCCCTCTTGGTGTCTTCTGGTGAGCTCATCCGAAGGGTAAGCTCTTCCACTAATTCTCTTTTGTGGTCGTTGTTTACTTTGCCTAATTCTCTTGATTATATTCTAATTATAACATCTTGATATCTATTGGTTATACAATTATATTGTAATTATAACATCTTGATTATACAGGAGACATTCTCTTTCCCTTGAGTAGTGTTGAGCAGGGCTCTGTAGTAAGCCAGGCCCCAAATAATTTTTGCCTCCTTAGGTCTGCTGGAACTACAATGTCCCTCTCTTAAACACTTGCCTAAACTTTCAGGGTTCTACAGGTGTTCAGGAGTGAAGCTCCATAACACTGGAGGTGCCCACTTCTGTAAGTTTTCTCACAAATTTCTCCACACTCCCCACCACACAATATTATCTAGCTTTGGGGCAGATCCCCAACCAATATCGTAATGAGAAGCATGTTCAGGAAACCTAGCAGTATGATTATGCCAGTTTGGACATTCCAGAAATGTGCAAAAATTTTCAAGATAACCATGGAAAACCATGACAGAGTGCAAGGAAGATCAGTGCTGAGAAAGATAAAAAAGAAAAATCAGACTATGTTCTACTTTGTATTGATAAGCAGTGAGTGCCAAGTGAGAAAGAAACTATTGAGGACTAATCGACACTAGAGAAAGAAACTAATCTGACTGCAGTTCAGATGTATCATCTTGATTTTTTTGTCTTCTTGAATCACTGTCCTTGAGTTCTGCTACATGTACAATTACACTGCAATAATTATACGTTTATACATATACAATATACATACAATTAATAGTAGAAAACACCTAATACCTCAGATTAAAGCCATCTTAACAAATTTTAAAACCTTGCTCTATTGCACTCACAGGTCATTGCTCTTAGGAGGGCCCTAAGAGTCAGGCTGGACAAGGCTTTGAGCAACATGGTCTAGTGGGAGATGACCCTGCCTATAGCAAGGGGGTCAGAACTAGATCTTATAGGTTCCTTCCAACCCAAACCATTCTGTGATTCTAGATGACTCTTAGGTGTTCTGCAGTGGGAATCTGGAAACGCACATGGCAGAGTATATACTTCCCACGTATTATGGTGGGTTTCCTTATAAAAGAAAGGAGTCATCCTGACATGTAAAAAGCTCATTTATTCCTCAGTACAGTGGGAAAATGTATTACCACAATTCACATACGTTTCTGAATTGATGTCTCATCTACCAGTAGCTATTTAGTGTGATAATGGCGTTTGATAGATTGGACACAAACACCATTGTCACACTCCATAGCTCTGGCCATAGATCATAGTCCATAGAAGAAGTAATATGCACACATGCAGAATTCAGCACAGAGACTTCAAAGATCTGCAAAACACAGAAAAAGACAATGTGTAAGCATACTTAATATGTGGAGCATCAGCATTCTTACCATGGATGTGGGAAATGGGACTCACCATTTTTTTGTCTGGTAACTAGTAATCTAAAAGCTAAGTAGCTTTAAGTGCACATTTATAGGCAAAGGAAATGGACAGTCACCTTGAGAAAGTTATCAGCATGATCTTACGAAACAAATTTTTGAAAAGGGATTAATTATTCTCTACAAGGACTTGTGTCTTTCTCTTATTGATGGAGACAACTCAGAATAAATGTTTTACATTTAGACAACAATGTTACATGAGACGGTCAAGATGCTAAAGACAGTATTTGCTTTCCATATACTTGTTTTCGCCAGCACTTTAAAGCCAGACCACTTAGAAGACAGCAAGGTGATCTTTACTTCTTCTCATCATTCATATCCAATGTTGAATTATGCAGTGTAACTAAGGTACACAACTATTGTTTCCTCTTCTTTCCAGAACAGTTTCTTTTTTTGGTGGGACAGAATGCACTTCCATGTTTAATCTGTAAGTCAAATAATGTTTATTTTTGCTCATCCTTGGAGAATATTAAAAAGCAAACAAACTAACCTGTAAAGAGCCTATTCACAAGGACAGGTCTAAGAGCACAAAAAAGTTAGAGTATCACCTCACGCACAACAATTTGTTAAACCAATGCAGTTGTGTGCCATTAGCAGCCAGCATGACTTCACCGAGGGAGGGTCATGCCTGAACAATCTGGTGGCCTTCTACAATGAAGTGACATCAGTAGACAAAGGGAAGGAGACCAATGTCATCTATCTGGACTTGTGCAAGGCCTTTGAAATGGTCCCCCATCACCTCCTCACCTCTAAATTGGAGATACATAGATTTGAAGGATGGACTATTCAGTGGATAAGGAATTGGTTGGAAGTTCACATCCAGAGGTTTGTGATCAATAGCTCTATGCCCAGGTGGAAGCTGGAAACAAGCAGTGTCCACCAGGGGCCTGTTTTGGGTCTGGTACTCTTTAACATCTTTATCAATTACATAGATTACGGGATTAAGTGCATCCTCAGCAAGCTTGCTGATGACACCAAGCTGAGCAGTGCAGTTGATACAGCAGAAAGAAGGGGTACCATCCAAAGGGACATTGATAAAAATCAAAAGGAGGACCCTTGTAAACCTAATGAGGTTCAACATGGCTAAGTGTGGGGTTTCGCACTTAGGTCAATTTAATCCCAGATATGTATACAAACTGAAATAAGAACTCCTTGAAAGTAGCCCTGCTGAGAAGAACTTAGATGTCCTGGTTGATGGAAAAACTTATCATGAGCCAGCAGTGTGCACTTGCAGCCTAGAAGTCCAACAGTACCCTGGGTTCCATCAGAAGAGGGGCGGCCAGTAGGGGGAGGGGTTGTCCCTCTCTATTCTGCCCTTGTGAGGCCCAAGCTGGAGTATCTTGTCCAAACCTGGGGCTCCCAATACAGGAAAGACATGGAGCATTTGGAGAGGGTTCAGAGTAGGGCCACAAAGATTATCAGAGGGCTAGAGTATTTCTCCTATGAAGACAGGTTGAAGGAACTGGGCTTGTTCAGCCTGGAAAAGAAAGCTGTGGGGAGACCTCATTGTGGCCTTCTGATATTTAAAAGAAGTTCATAAAGATGAGGGAAATCAATTTTTTATACAGGTAGATAGTAATAGGGCAAGGGAGATTTATATTAAATGTCAGGGAAATGTGTTTTTTTTTTTTTTTTTTTTTTTTTTTGGGTTTTGTTGTTGGGTTTTTGTGTTGTGTTTTTTTTTTTTTTTTTTTTTTTTTTTTTTTTAACTGAGAGAGCGATGAGGTACTGGAACAGGTTTCCCAGAGTGGTTGTGGATGCCCTGGAGGTGTTTAAGGACAGGTTGAATGGGGCCCTGGGCAATCTGCTATAGTACTTGATCTAGCTGCTGGCAACCCTGCCTGTAGCAGGGGTGTTGGAACCTGACAATCCTTGAGGTCCCTTCCAACACAAGCCATTCTACAACTCTATGAAATTTGCAAAGCAGAAGAGAAAATATAGAAAGAGGAACATAGGAAAGGGAGGAGATTAGAAAATAGAGCTTAGGTAGCTGTTTTACCTTGCTCTTCTCTGTATTCACTTTCTCCTCAGTCTATAATGGGTCTCACCTAGTGTGATCATCTCTGCAGAAAAATATTGGCTATTAACTGGAAGAAACAGTGATCTATACAGATAGAAAGTAGTTTTGTGAACACACAAGCTAGCTAGTGAATGTTCATTAATAGCAGTAACAGTAGAATAGTACTAATTGTTAACAGTAATGAAGCCTGTTAATTTCAGGAAAAGGCAAAGAATTCCTGTATTCCTCTAGAATTAGTTAAAAAAAATATTTCAAGGAGAGCAGAGTAAATTAAATATTAATTTTCAATTTTGCATGAATTTGGGAAGTTTTCCTTCATGCAGAGTTGGGCAGTGGTTTTGTGTAGCTACATAAAGCTCAAACTTTCTAACTCAGAAAATGATATGTGGACTGGTTAGAAGAACCTTTTTGATGTATTCCTGAGAGAGGATGGAGTTGTCTTTTTGTGTCAGGAGAAGAAAACAGAACATATCACTGTAATGCTTTTAAGGTTTCCATCTCATTTTTTATGTTTAGTAAGTGCATTCACATGTTTGATGTATTTGGGAGCATTTGCTACATGTACATAAGAAAACTATACCCTGTAATAGACTTCTGGATCTGGTAGCATTTCAGCAAAAGAAAATGCTACTTGTTAAAGTATTTGAAGGGCAGACTTCACAGATCCTCAGGGAGCTCAAGGGTTTAGCCTTCCTGACTATATCATTTTTTAATCTTTCCTAACTCACTCCCCTGACGCTTTATCATTTTCATGCAGTAGCAGCCTTAGCACCTCTGCTCAATTCCCAGTCTGATGTCAGCACTCCCAACACACCTTCCAGCTGAGAAACAAGAGGGAGAGGTACGCATCTCTATCATCAACTGTAAAATCTAAATGTTAGACAGAACTGAAGCATATTGACTGAATGCAGTACAGCTATGGAGGGAAAACACATTTCTGTCCTTGTTCAGACCAAGTGGTCACCATTTTAAATATCAACTTCTGGAAGAAGTATGAGAAGCATTCCCTAGCTCAAATCAGGGCATGCTGAAGTTGGTGAGAATTGCAGATCTATGATACTCTGTCATACATACAGAGCAAAGATCAGGGCCCTGGCAGAGGCAACTCTGGGCTTTACTGTGAAATACAGAAAACAGCTAGGTAGATAAAGCAACTGCAAGCAGGCAGCTTCATAGTTCCACAACTACATGGAAACCACCAGCAATTAATTCAACAAGAATATTTCCGTGAACAAAAGGTAATGAAAGAAAGAAATGGCTGCAATCTTGGAATTGCAGTTGTAGTGGAGCAAGGAAACCCAAAACAAGGGAGTTAAAGGTCAGTATAGGGAGAAAGCAAAAAATACACATTGACACAGAAGAAAAACCAACTACTTTTTGCTTTTCTTCTGCTAGGCATTCATATAAAGAATATTATAAGAATGTTTCAGCTGAGAAGATAATTGCGAAGAACAAAAAAATTTTTCAAGCAGCATCTGAATGTAGATCACAAAAAGTTGTCCTTTCCATACATTCAGGCTTGGAAGCATCTCTGTAACCCCAGTGAAGTTTGGCCACATTTACTACCAGCTGTATTTTTATCCTAAGGCCACCTAATCTCTGTATTAAAAAGCGTGGGCTGAGATCACTACATACAAGACATTAAATCCTGCTAAATGACACAGGCCACAGGAATTTGCAGATACTTTGTTATTCCAAAGTGCTTATTATTCAAAAATAACTTGCGTATTTTTCTTTTTGTTGTCCATTTTATCATTCCTTTTCCTCACGTGAATCAAGCACAGGAAGGCACTTACCATCTCAGACAACTGCCAAGGGATCCTGTGGTGCACCACTGAGATCTGTCAGAATTGAGATGCTGTTGAACGACATTTTTCTGAATATCACTGTGCTCAGATAGTTGGAGATCCTGCTTTTCTTTTACTAGTTTCACAGCAGCGGTCAGCTGTTCAAGGTCTCTGTTTCCAGTGGACACCTTTGCCTCACCCTTTATGCGATCCTGAGATTTTAAAGTAAACAAGTCATTTGCTTTCTGATAAGTCATTAAAATATTGATGAGGAGGGGGAGGGACGTGGCCCTCACTGCACAGAGCACTTTAATTCAAATGAAGTAAAGAATGGGGGAAGACGCTCTGAAACCTCAGTTTTCTCTCCCTTCAAAGAGGTCATGTGGGTAGGGAAAACGAAAAATAAAAGTTCTTTGTTGTTGTTGCTTGTTTTGCTTATTAATCCTGGAAATGAAGAATGTTTTCTAGGATTTCATATTTGCTTACTTCTAGCAAGAGTGACTTCATCAGTTCCTCAGATCCCAGCATTAATCTTACTCTTCACTGCTGAAACTTACCAATCTGTTTACATGCTTAAATTGATTTACTGTCTTTTCTGCATAGGAATTTTCAGAGATCTCAAGGAATCTGTTGCATATTTGAAGTGGGTTTCATTTTCCAACACACCTATAAGAACGGGAAAAGTCTGACTTCAGTTAAGGCTGAACAGTAACAGAAAAATCAGGAATTATCACAGGTTTTAGGACCTAATCCAGATAATCCACAGCCAAACCACTGCACAAACTTCCAAATTTAAGCTATGATAAATTTCACATTTTTGGTGTAGGCTTCTATAGGATCTGAACCTGAGAGTTCTCTAAATGTAGACTAAGGTCTCACTTTCAGAACAATAACCTTCCTAAAAGTTAACTTGCTAGAACTTTGCTGCCAACTTGGATTGACGTGCTTCTACTCCATTAGAATATAAATATTTTATAGCAGCCTTAAGGAAAAGTAATGTTAAAAAAAAAAAAAAGTACAAATCTCACAGTAATACCTCACATAAGTGAGGAACCAGGTCACCTTACTGGTTTTGGATGGATGTGTCTATTTGGCAAAGGAAAAATGCCATGGAAGAGATTATTGCACTCTTGCTTACAAGCTTTAGTATCAATAGACTTCCAATAGAGCACAAAAACAATTTCAGTTCTTGTAAAGATACCTTACTTTCACCACACTGCCAGATCAAGATAAAACCATCCAGTAAATATAATAAAATGGTTTGGGTTGGAAAGGGACCTTTAAGATAACCTAGTTCCAACACCCCTGCTATAGGCAGGGACACCATCCACTAGACCAGGTTGCTCAAACCCCCATTCAGCCTAGCCTTGAACACCACCAGGGAAGTGACATTCACAACCTCACTGGGCAACCTGTTCTAGTGTCTCACCTCCCTCACAGTAAATAATATCTTCTGAATATCTAGTCTAATGTATGCTCTGCCAGTTTAAAACCATTTCCCCTAATCCTGTTGCTACATACCCTTATAAAAGGTCCCTCCCCAGCTTTTTTGTAGGCCCCTACAGGTACTGGAAGGCCTCTAAGGTCCCCGCTGGAATCTTCTCTTCTCCAGGCTGAAGAGCCCCATCTCTCCCAGCAAGTCCTCATAGGGGAGATGCTCTAACCCTGTGATCATCTTCATGGCCCTCCTATGCACCTGCTCCAACAACTCCATGCCATTCTTGTGTTGGGGGCTCCAGCACTAGACTCAGTAATCCAGGTGGGGTCCCACAAGAGCAGAGTAGAAAGGCAAAATCACCTCCCTCAACCTTCAGGTCACACGTTTGTCATGGAGTTGACTAGATCAATCTATGTCCGTGACAGGGGCGACAAGCCTCTGCCCTCCCCCCCCACCCCAGTCCCACAAAAAATGGGAAGGAAGGAAAGGAGGAAAAGAGCAGCGGCAACCATCTATGGAGGAAAACATGGAACCATGACATTCCACCCCTTATTCTAAATCGTTACATCACACTTAAAATATATATACATACATACAAACAAAAAATGATTACAGTGCATTACACACACATGGCTATATATATATATACATAGAATTAGTAACAGGGGTGGACTGGGCACGCCAAAATTGGCATAATTTGCAGAGTGTTTCGGACCGCATTAGTGTCTTACAGAATGAGGCTCGTTCACGAGCTGGAAAAGGAAAGTCGTTTATTTGTGCCGTTTTCGGGGCTGCTTTAAAAGCTGCCGTGGAGTTCCGAAATGAAAAGCATTCGGCAGAACTCCAAACCACAGAAGCACTACAGGAGTCGGTTAGAGTTACACAAGAATTGGTAAAAACTCTGCAGTATCAAATAGTTAATCTCGAGGAACAACTAGAAAGAGAGAAACATAATTCGGCCTTGTTGCAGATGGCTTTCAAGGAACTGTTAACTAGTAAAGATACTAGCGATACTGTCACCCATAGGTTGCCTCAAGAAAAAAACTTTTCCTCAGGAGGAACTACAAGAAATAAAGGAAAGACTAGACAAATTAGAAACCCCAATAGCCCCATTGCGTCCCTTGATAAAAACAGAATATACCTTCGATAACAGTGAGGATCTAGATCCTCAAATGAATGTTAAGGAAATTCCGTTCTCGGCCACCGAACTAGCAAAACTCAAAAAGGACTTTAGCCGCTCTCCAAAGGAATCAGAGACAGAATATGTATGGAGGGTGAGTCTCACTGGTGGCGACCAGATTCGGTTAACAGAAAAGGAAGCAGAGGGTTATTGGGGACCAGGAGTATTTTTAACTACTGGTAACAATCGTGCTCCCTGGTCATTAACGCAAAGGGCTGCCTATTGGGCAGGTGGTCTCAACCCTTTAGAAAGGGGAGACCCTCTTGCCATTACTGGAACTACTGACCAATTAGTAGAAAGCGTTCAAAAGGCTGCTTGTCTCCAAATGATGTATGATAGAAAGCTGCAGCCACATCATGAATCGCCCATGATGATGCTCGTTGATCCTGAGAGAATGACCCCTTTAATTAGAGGGCTTCCGGAATCACTGAAACCCATAGGCATACAATTACAAGCAAGGATACAAGCTATGTCACAGGGAGAAAGAACCCGGACAGTGTTAGAAGAAACTGTAACCCCCAACCATCTGCAGTCAGGATGCAGAATATGGACGTGGGGGGAGGTAGCCCAAGAGTTAATTAACTATGGAAGAAAATATGGGCTGGTGGTTTCTTTTCCCAGTAAATCTGAGCCAAGAGGTGTAAGGCTTGCAGCAGCCAGTCTTGCCCCCAGGCCACCTAGCCCAAAGCTCAGTGGGTCTGGAAGGGTCTCATTGCCAGTAAAAACCGGTAGGCGGAATATCTTTCATAAACGTAATGGACTTTGGACTCTGGGCTGGAAAAAGGGTATTCCACGAAATTTGATGGATGGATTGACAACAGATAGGTTAGAGAAATTAGTTAAATGGTGGCCAGAACAAAAGCTCGAGAATCTTGAGGAAAGCAAAACCCCAGGTCCTAGGGCCTCTCTCAGGGAGCCTGAATGGTTATCCAAGCCATTGGAAAGCTGATGTCTCCGCCCCTCCCAAGTGAGCGGGGTGGGGGCGGTGAAGGCTGGATGTATTAGAAAGCTCACAACAAAGGGAAACACTTATCTCCTGGGCCAGCCTGTATCGATTGGCTCAGCTAACCTGAGGCTTGTTTCCCTAACCTTAACGGGATACCTTAACAAATATCCTTGGAAGGCCAAGGACACCGCGAAAAAGGAATATAAAAATAACACTTGCTGGATTGCTCCCTCATTTTTTAACCATATTAACAAAGCCCCCCCAAAAAAAGGGCAAGTCGGTGTCTCGTTTTATTTTATTTCAGAATACTCCTATGGACCTTGACTGAACACAGAAAGGACTCTAATGTTTTGTGACAGAAATATTGAAAATGTGATCATGTTAGAATACTGAATATATCTCTTGATTAAATTTTATATTTTTACTGTGTTTTGTGTTGTTGTGGGTAGTAATGTTGTATCTCTATTTGTTATATTTATTTGTTATTGGTTATTGCCAAATGTATGGTTGCCTCTTTTCACTTTCTACTTTTTATTCATCATGTAACATTCGTGCCACCACTCCCGAGGTGTCACTGAGTGGTGTCTGTGGCAAGTTGATATTGTGTGCTGTTGCAACTCTTGTGTTTGTTAATTGTATGGTTCCGTGTTTTATAAGATGTGTTGTATCACCTATGTAGATTGTAACCTCCTCTATTGATGGGGAAGTCAAGCACATCAGGGCCCACCCTGATGAATCTCTTGTAATGATTGTATGAAACTTTTGATTCCCTACCCCCTTCTCCCCCCTTCTTTACCCCTATGCTTGGTATCTTTTTCTCTCACCATCATGGATCATCTGTGTCTCATTTTAAAGCAACCTTTGAGTCACGGGGTGGTGTAAGAGATTATTCTGTTAACTTCTGTGTCTCAAAGCTTGCTGGGGACACAGATGGACTTGTTCAAGTCCAGACAAGTCCCGAGCAAGGATTGTGAAATCCTTTGTCTGGGGAAATGCAGATGGACAAGGCCAGGGGCAAGAGAGCGAGATGAGCTGCAGCTAAATAGCTGTGAAGTGCTCCTTTGTGTGGACCTATCTCCGGATGATGGCCATCTCAGGGGGTACTCAATGACTCTTGCTCAAGGCCCATCCTTGTCACGTGGGCAGGAGAACAAGGAGGATAAAAGAGGAACTGAAAACCACGAGGATAGCTTTCTGACAACAGATTCCTCATGAAGAATGGAAGGTTTCTGACAACAGATTCCTCGCGAAGAACAAGGTTTCTGACAAGAGATCCCTCATGAAGAACGGAAGGTTTCTGACAACAGATTCCTCATGAAGAACGGAGGGTTTTCTGACAAGAGATCCCTCATGAAGAAGAACAGAGGGATTCCGGAAGATTGAGGTGATTCCTGCATACTGTCGAACTCTCCTGAGCCTGCTGCCTGGCCGCTGTTGCTGCTTCAAGAATTGGCTCCTCGACTTCCTCGTCTACCTGCCTGTTGCCCAAGGCCAGCCATGCTGCTGCTCCCCGTCTTCTGCTGCATCTGCCCGGGACCTTCAAACACCGTGCAACGGGACCACTGCTGGATCCTGCTGGTGACTATCCCCGCTTTACGCAACTCCTGCTTCTTTTCCATCTTTTCTATCGCACTCCT